AGTGGTGTATTTATAGCGGTAGATAGGGTAGATATACTGATAAAGGAACTATCTCAATTATGCATGAGAACTCTCTTATTCAAGGTAAACCCCCACAACAGTAACAAGAATGACCCCAATAACAAGATGATAAAGCAACACCAAGAAAGCTAAACAGATTTATGCTTGGTAAGATGATCAAAGATCAAGAAGAAAAGAGAACTTGTTCCTATCTTCAAGATTTCGAACTCTCATCTTCAAGATTTCGAACTCTCTACAACCTAATTGATCAAACTAGATTGAAAGTTCTAAACATGCATTCTAAACACAAGAATACAAAGAAAGCTTAAAGCTTGAGAGAGATTAAACTCAATATGAAATTTTCATTCATCAAATGTTGTTCTTAAAAAGCAAATGTACATTCCTATTCATAGTAAATGAAAAGACACAATGAAAGACACAACCCTTGTATGAAAAGACACAATACTTGAAAAATACATAATAAATTAAATATGTGGATGAATCCGGATTTTTAGATTCATGAAGTTTCTTGGATGACAAGATGTCTTTTCAAGCTTGTAGGGATGCAACTGTAAGGACAGTATTGTAATTTTCAGTTAAAAAAAATAAAAGAAAAGAAAAGGAAAGTGGGAAAGTGAAGACGTGTGTGAAGGTGTTGAGGGGACACGTGTAGAGGAAAAATGGGAAAAACAGAAAAGAAAGAAAAAGGAAGAAAATGAAAGGAACAAAAAAGGGGGAAGTGTAGGGCACGAAACGAAACAGAGAGAGGAGGCTGAAAGGGAAGGATTTCATTGCTGAAGAAGGCGGAGGTGAAGGTGGTTTTAGAGCAAAGAAAAAAAAAACATTGTACAGGTATAGATGGAAGATTGGTTTGTGGATTTTCTTCTTGTGTTCAAAGTATCTCTTGAAATAGGTGGAGACTCTGAATCTCTGATTTCTTGAACTCTTGTGATGGTTTTCAGCCTCTGTGCGTGTTTTCATTGTTGTAGGTCAGAGGAATCTGTGAAGTAAAAGAAGAAGAAGAGAAGAAATGGAGAGGAAGAAATAGAGGGTTTCGTTGGTTGTGGTTGAGGGAGGAAGAAGGTGAATAGTAGAGGAGAGAGAATGAGTGGGTTAAAATTAAAAATAAAAGGAAATGAAAGAAAAAAAATGGTTGGGAAATTGAAGTTATTCACGTGTAGGAAATTGAAATGGGTTTAAAGATTATGAATGTAGGATGTAGGTCCCACTTGTAAGGAAGATGAGAGAGAAAGAGGTGTTATTGGATGGTAGAGAGAGAATGAGGTTGTTGATTAAATTTGTGGTTCAATTTGAAGAATTGTAGAGTTTAAATAGAAATTGAGTGTGAATTGAAATTTCATTGGTTATTATTTTAGGACGATCGGAAATTGGAGCAGCGTACCAACCCAATTCACCTCGTTCATAGGATCTGTGAGTGGTTATTTTACTAAATATTTTAAGATATCTATTATAGAACTTCAAGAAAATATATATTACGTATGTTTGATTATTTCTGCTGAGAATTTATGAATGTTTCTGAGAACATAGAAATGTTTTATGATTTTCTGAGAAACTGTTGTGTTACTGAATATGATTAGAAAGAAATATGTTTAGAAGTGATTTGAGAAAGAAATGTTCTTAGAAAGAAGAAAAGAAGAATTTTAGAACTGTTTATAAGATTGAAAATTTTATGCAAAAATAAGTTTTCAAACCACCATATTGTTGTATCCAGGTGATTACCCGTATGCTATGTGAATGTGTTTCTATAGTATACCTAGAAGTAGAAGGTCTTTGGGACCATGTAACGCCCCGAGTCCCTCAGGTGAGTTAGTCTCGAATCAGGAGATTTTTCATTTGATTTTTAAATTAATTGTTAATTAAATTTATACATATTTATCGGGCTCTAAACTCCAATTAAATTGATATTTACCGGACTCCGTGTGGTGGGTCTTGTTTTAAGAAGGGATGGACTTCTTTTCTTTTCGACTTGGACTTGTTGGGCCTCCATTAGGTTAATTTGGTTTTAAAACAAAGG